ACGTTAATAATTGTCTGTGTCGGGTGGAGGAGGGTTTACGACACAAATTGTGCATCGCGTATGAAGGCTGCACACAGTTGCCACATTGTGATGCTGCTCCTGTCCAATGATAAAGCGGCCTCTTTGTTTCCTTTGGTGTTCTAAATCCACCCAGTGTGCTCATGTCACGTGACATGTGATGCATGATGGGAGGACCTCGCTCGTCAGATGGTCACAATCGCACCTTTTGCTGTCAGAAACTCACCGTCTGCATGCCTGATTGTTACTCTTGTGTCCAGCCTGGAGATACTTCCCTGTCTGACGAGCTTCTCATCATTACGGAATGGTCAGAATGGTTTGGGGCAGCGCTGGTGCCCGTAGTACGACGGGTAGAATTCGGCAATTTAACACGTAGGCTTTCGCGACCAATATTATTCATGATAAAGGTTTTTGAGTTAGATCGCGTAAATATAAATGCGTCGTAACCCTCCCACCGCCCGACACGGCCAATTAGTAAGGGATTTGTCATGTAAACAAAACGGCAATTTGTTGCTACTTCAGCCCACCGGTGTGTTGGAGAGTAAATCCACAACATTTACAATCTGAGTAGTACGGCGTTTCTCTGGTAATTACATCCAGCATCATCGGCCGATTTGCCAGAATATTCTGTCAAATCGCCCGATGATAACGCCCGATGATACTTCACAAATCCCGTAAAGAATTAGGCAAGTCGACCGCACCGTCGATTTGGACGAGGCGGCGCATTGTTCCCGCTATTTGCGTAATTTTTTGAGATGTGGTTCCGGTAAAATCGTTGATAAGCCAAAATCCCGATGTGCGCGTGCGGGTGTTCTCTCGCGTGCACAGCATACTCCTTTACCAAACGTCGGTGACCAGGACCCATCTTAAACGGTCTTACGATGCTTGAGCCAGTGGAGGATGTTCCAGAAACATGTCGCAAACCACGGTGCCATTTGATGAGGAAGGGGCGACGGAGGGGGGGGGGGGCGATTTCCCTGGCTCTGCTCTTTTTTTTTTATCCCAAGGACTGCTGCACTCTCCGTTGTCATTACCCGGTGCGCGGTGGAGGGGGCGGGGGGGTTACATTTCCAGCTCCACAGGGCCTGAGCCGGGGTGCTGCTTGAGTGGGATGCTGCCGGGAGTAGCTGGACGCGAGGTGGCCCGGGAGATGGAGGCGCAGCCATGGATTCTCGAATCTCTCAGTGCAGGGCTTGAGCATCAGCCCTTGCTATTGTATTCCCTCCGCGCCGAGTGGCGATGCTTTTTGTTCGGGGATGTTGCGTGTGCGATCGCACTGCATAGGGGTATGCCGTTATTCAGTTCGGTAGCTTCATTGGGAGACTTGGTACACTGACAGGTGGTGGCTGCCAAGCTGTACGTGCGTACGTTTGAACTTCTTCCGCCACCGTGCGTAGCCGACGGTGCTCATCGGAGGTGCGGGGGAAGGACGACAAACTAAACACAAAAAGCAGTTCTAAAGAATATTATTTGGGTCTTTCGGTAAAGATAGGTACAAAAAAAATGTTTTAACCTTTTTGTTTAACCTATCAACGTGACTTTACCGAAAGACCCAACGAATATGAATTCCTGCAGTCACGAAAGCTTTAAGTCAAGATTCGGTTCCAAAGAAGTTCGTTTTCGATCTAGATTTAAACGTGCATAGCTCCGGCGGCTTCCTAATATCGGAAGGATAATCATCCGTGCCAACGCCTACATCCTATTCGGCTCTCGAAAAGGAAACGTTCCGCACCCCCTGCTGCGGTGTTACCGTGGCCGTGAGCGTGGCTATCATCTGAAAACGGTCCCCACTCTCCCTCCCCTTGACACTCTATTCAGTTAGAGTGCAGTCCTCATGTTCTCCATTCTACTTGCTCAATGCCCATGACCCACGAGGCCATGTGGACAATTCTCTTTTTAAATGTTTGCGATTGTTCATAATACTAAACTAATCAAAAACTATTCTTGGTTCTTTCGGTAAAGTCACGTATAAGGGAAACAATAAAATAATAAAAATATAAAAAATAAAATTCTCACGACGTTTCGACTGCAGCACAAGCAATCATCATCAGGTGTGAAAACCACAGCAAGAAAATTTTCTTGCTGTGGTTGAAACGTCGTGAGAATTTTATTGTTTTATATTTTTATTATTTTATTGTTTCCCTTATACGTGACTTTACCGAAAGAACCAAGAATATGAATCCCTGCAGTCACGCAAGCTTTAAATCAAAATGTATTCAAAAAATCTTTTTTTTTATTTTAAAAGGTAAGGTCTCACTGAATTATATAGCTCTTTTTCATAAGCGACCTGGCTATCACAAATGACAACTCTACAAGGTGACTCACCGTGCGGAAATTGATAGCAGCCAAATACTCTCAACGTACGTTTCTAAATGTGGAGGGAAAAACCGGAGGATCTGCGACCACGTGGAGAACACGCAAACTCCAAACATGCAGGTGTCAGAGTCGGGATCGAACCCACGACCTCCTGTATAGCAGGCTAGGTAGTTAACATCTCTCCACTGCTGTCCCATGTACGCGTACCTTCAATTTCAGTAAAAATTTTCAAAGATGTTCCGACCGGTTATGAACAATGCTCATCCGAAATGAAACGTGAATTTGCCCCGTCAACGATTAGCCGGGATGGATCCTTCCATCATATTTCATATCCCGTGTATCGACCTAGAAATCCAGTTTCAAGATCAAATTGCAACACTTCCTCCAAATATTCGCTGTAATAATAATTGTTAAAATAGAATTTACTTATCTATCCAGCAAAGCCACACTGCGTTGTAGTCCTCTTTTACAGCAGGGTCCTGCATCGGGTTTTTATTTTAAGATATAAAAAAAAAATGAGGCAGGAAACCGGAGCATTTGAGGGGGCAACACTATATCCCCGTACAGGTAGAAAAAGATGGCGGTTAGTCCACTTGTTGTACTGCCTTCTCATGGCACGTCAGGGTATCGCTCCTCCTTGACGCCCAAGGGAAACGAGTTTCACAATATTTGTGTGCTGATCCACCAACCCTCGCCTCCACAGTGCCACGTGCATAGCCACTAACGCCCGGCTAGACCCTTGGCAAGCACACAACGGTGTCATGTGAGACTTGAAGTTAAATGGGTCTCATTCATGGCGTACAACTTTGTTAAATACTCAAAAGGTTGCTCAACAGCCTGTTATGGACGTCACCACTTTGCATAAACTGTGTGGCACCATTCAAGCATTTTAAATGCAACAGTGAGACGAAACGTGTGCAGATGTTGGAAACAATAGATAATTTTTACTTAAAATTGAGTCTTCGTCATCATCAAAGCTTCGAAGGAATCCCAGCATGCCTTGCACGCCAATGACATCGCATGCATTGTGCGTATCCCACAATACAGCCTCGCGATAGTCACCAGCTCAGGAGCAGAGGCGTTCTAAGCTCTGTTGTGATGTGTGTTTGTAAATGTACAGGTTGATCCAGCTATATAGATAGCCTGCTAAAATAATTGGGAGAAACTATATATTTTTTTTCGTGGCAGACTACGTGTCTCCCACTAACCTCGATAGACACTATTCAATCTCGGAATACTGTCGCCTCCAACGTATGGAGCCATCGCTTACGCATTGTTCAATCAGCGGGGCGTTGGACATCGGTGGCGTAGCTATAACTTGATCGCTATACATTGTGATTGTTGCCTCTCAATCGCAGCCCGTCTGTCCGACCATAACAAGCTGAAAGACCCCGCACCGTAGCTCCGTGTGCCTAACACACAAACACCATGCGCAGGGTCCGAGGTGGATTGTTACAGGATCACAGGATTATAAGAGGTGACAGCCTGGGGAGGGCTTCATCCAGCAGTGGATTCACCAATGCCGATCATGTTGCTGGCATTGTGAAGGTTTTGGCATTGTAGTGTGACCGCGCTTTGAACGGTTGACGTTGAAGGGTTTGTTAAGGACTTCATTGTGCCAGATAGTCTGGAGAACTAACCTCATCTTTATCATTGTTTAGATATATTATATTGGTCTTATCACTGTCATAATGCCATCATTATGCCCATCCTATCAGCTATGGTTTCGTACCATTAACTTCAGTGGCCTCACAATAGTCATTCATGCAATCATCAGTACACCGGATACCATTATTAATTATCACTATCCACGTAAGTATTCCTATTTTTGTTACGAATAGTCCCATCATCGTCATCATCGACCCATAATCTTAATGTGTGGTTTGTGGACATCATGGACGGGATGACACCAGAGTTGAGCCGCTCAATGCCACCTACTACAAATCAGTGCCCAGCTTAAGCTCAAGGTAACCACGGCTTTGAGCTCGCCCACGAGATCCAGAAGCCAGACCTGAGCAAAGCTGCAGCTACGGCCACGGGCCTATGTGAACGTGGCAAAAAGCAGTGCACGTCCAGTGGGCTTTAGCAGTGTCATTACGGTTCATGTGAATACAATTTAAAAAAAAAATAGCCCGAGTTTTTTTGTTTGGTGACAAAACGTTCTTACCGCTCTCCTCTCATTCCTCTCCATGCACAATCCTCCCCGCTCCGGCACCCAAAGTTTTCTGTTGAAGCCCCCCAGTCAACCTTAGTTGAGTTTGAGATCACTCATTCTCCTCTGCTGCCACCATAGTCTGGAATTCCCTTCCCCCAGATATCCGTGCTCCCAGCTTTCTGCAATCGTTCTGTCCAGCCTCGCGAACCTCCTTTTTCCATTTTGCCTATAACTGCGATGCAAAATCAACAAGTAACCTGCATGGCTTTTGTACAGCGGCTCGAGATGCGGTTGCATTTATATGAAAGATAGATCCAAATTGTATTCGTAATCGCGCTGCGCATGACGTGAATTGCGATGCCGCATGCTGGCTCTCGATTTGTCCCATTAATCTGCCGTGCGTCACGATTCGCTTTTCGCGCGCGACACCGCTCTGCAGATCGAGCGGCGTGCGAGACTTCCCCTCCGCCGCTGGTCGGCTTCAAGTCCTCTCGTCCGTGTTCCCCGACAGATCGCCAAAGAGGAGCGCACCTCCTCCCGCCTGGGCGCCCTCAGCGGGAGCAGAGACCGGCTGCCGCCGCCGCCGCACCCTGAGGTCCCGGCGGCCGCCGGCGGCGCCCCCCCCGCAACCCTGGCGCGGCCGGCCGCGTCGGGGGCCTCGAGGCCGAGGACGGCCACACCGGCGTCCTCGCCCAAGCCGGCCGGCGCAGGGCTCGTTGCGCTGCCGTCCAAGGTGCCGCAATACGGAGGAGGGGTGCCGTCCATCACCCTGGCAGCGCCTCAAGGGCCCTCGGCGACACCAGCGATAGTTAAGCCTCCAACGGTGACGGCGGAGGTAGTTAAAGCCCCAGAGGTAGTTAAGGCCCCAGAAGTAGTTAAGGCTCCATTAGTAACAAGAGAGGTAGTTAAGGCTCCATTAGTAACAAGAGAGGTAGTTAAGGCTCCGTCGGTCATACCAGAGGTGGTTAAGGCTCCAGTAGTGACAAGAGACGTGGATAAGGCTCCATCAGTAATGCCAGAGGTAATTATTAAGCCTGCATCAGTAACACCAGATGTGACATCGGTGGTAAAGAAGGCACCAGAGATGGAAATTCACGCCCTGCCTATAGCGACGGCAACGTCTCAGGTACGGTCGGTAACGCCCGATGATCCTACCTGCCCACGAGCTGCAGCGCCAGCTTCAACGCTCACGTCGCAGGGGTTTAAAACCCGGGCAGTAGATGTAGAGGCACTTGAGCCTCCGTCGGTCAAAGCAAAGGTAGGGAAATCTCCCTCGGCATTACCAGGAGCAGACGCATCTTTACCGGTAACAGCAGAGGCTGCTAAAACGCAATCAGTAGTATCAGAGGCACCTAAAACACAATCACTAATGTCAGAGGCTGCTAAAACACAATCACTAATGTCAGAGGCTGCTAAATCACCATCTGCAGCTGCAGAGGCTGCTGCAGCACATTCGTCGTTGTCAGCGTTTCCCGTGCAGTCCACCGCACCGGTGGCGTCCCCGCATCCTTCGTCCGTCGCTCGGTCGGACCCCTCGGCGAGACCCAAAGAGGAATTGACCGTGGCAGATTTTCCGGCACGCGCGGGGGTTACCACGCCGCCCCCCGGAGCGACGATTGCGGGGGCGGCGGCAGACGTTCGGCCCGCGAACGCCCTCGGCGCTCGGAAGCCTGCGACGGCCGCAACGGTGCCCGAGCGCTCGGCGACGGAGCCGAACCCGGAGCCTGCGCCGCCCGCCTGCGGCTCCGCTGCTGGGGCGACGGCGGCACCGGAAGGCGCCGCGCCTGCGGGGGCGGGGACTGCTCCGGCAGGCTTGGGCGCGCCCGCGGCACGGGCGGCACCGTCGCCGGTAAAGGTCGCGGCAAGATCCCCACCGTCGCGAGCGGCGGTGGGGATTGAAGGCGGCACGCACGCAGAAACCGCGGCGGCTGCTGATGTCCCCGCAGACAGCAAACGGATCCCTTCCAGTTGCAACGCTGACGAGACCCTCGGCAAATGTTCAGTCGGCCACCGCGCCAACCAAGATGACGGCAGAAGCTGAGGTGACTAAAGGGACGAGTGAGCAGGACCCTTCGAAACACTCGGCCACCACCCTGAGTCAGAAGACGGCCCCCACCGGTCCCACCACAGCACCAAGCAGGCCCGCCACAGCACCCACCGTGCCTACCACAGCTCCTACCAGGCCCACCACAGCACCCACCGTGCCCACCACAGCGCCCACCACAGCACCACCCGTGCCCACCACAGCACCCACCAGGCCTACCACAGCACCCACCGTGCCCACCACAGCACCCACCAGGCCCACCACAGCACCCACCGTGCCCACCACAGCACCCACCGTGCCCACCACAGCACCCACCAGGCCCGCCACAGCACCCACCGTGCCTACCACAGCTCCTACCAGGCCCGCCACAGCACCCACCGTGCCTACCACAGCACCCACCAGGCCCACCACAGCACCCACCAGGCCCACCACAGCACCCACCGTGCCCACCACAGCACCCACCGTGCCCACCACAGCACCCACCAGGCCCGCCACAGCACCCACCGTGCCTACCACAGCTCCTACCAGGCCCGCCACAGCACCCACCGTGCCTACCACAGCACCCACCAGGCCCACCACAGCACCCACCGTGCCCACCACAGCACCCACCGTGCCCACCACAGCACCCACCGTGCCCACCACAGCACCCACCAGGCCCACTACAGCACCCACCGTGCCCACCACAGCTCCTACCAGGCCCACCACAGTACCCACCGTGCCCACCACAGCACCCACCAGGCCCGCCACAGCACCCATCGTGCCCACCACAGCACCCACCGTGCCCGCCACAGCAGTATTCCCGGGCCTGGCGTCGTTCAAGATCGAAAAGGTGAGGCCCTCCTCGCTCGCCTCCTTCTCCACCATCGTCAAGGAGGACGGCGTGGCGGGGCCGGGCGCGGCGACGCCCGCCGCAAAGAGGGGCCCGTCGACGGCCGAGGAGAAGCTGGGGGAGGCGGCGAGCGCGAGGAGCGACCGGGAGCGCGACGCGGAGAGGCGCGCCGCGCCCGCGCTCAAGCGCCGCAACTCGAGCGCGGACAGCCTGGAGGAGCTCCTGTCCTGCGTCGAGCCCGAGGCCTCCGACTCGGACACGGACTCCGGGGGCGGCGACGCCTCGGACGGCGCGTCGCCCGCCGCGGCGCCCGGCAAAGCGGCGCCCAGCAAGGCGCCGCCGCTCGGTGCGGCCGAGGGCGCGGGGAAGGGCCGGGCGCGACCGCCGGCCTCGCTGGCGAGCGATGGCGAGGGCCCGTGGCGGGACGGGCGCAGTCGCGGCGGCGTGGGCCAGGTGGGCGAGGAGGAAGAGGAGGAGGAGGAGCTCCCCCCTTGGCTCGCGGTGGGGGTGGCGGTGAGCGTCGACCGCAGCGAGCTGCAGACCGGCACGGTGCGCTTCCTGGGCAGCGCGGAGTTTGCGCCGGGGACCTGGGTCGGCGTGGAGCTGGACCTGCCCGCAGGTGAGCGTGACGCAGTTCTACGCGCGCGAGGTTCATTCACAAAGATCGCCCCGTGTGTGGCCTTCAAAGGCTACAGAGCTACAGTGCTGCAAGCGAGCACCTATTAGAACCAGTGCTGTGCACAAGGAGGTGCTGTGGACAGCACCATGCCCCGCCGTCTTTATCTCCCCAGTGCTGATGTTTACACACTTCCCCATATACTCGCTGAAAGCCGAGTCGACAAAGGGAGAGCCCAGGACCGGTTTAGATAACCACCGGCCGCCGATGTTGGCCGCGACTGGAAATCAAACCCAGGTCGGTCGGTTCTTCGCGCATTGCGCTCACCGCCACACCATTGCTCCACACAAGTGCATATACGAGCACCTTCGTGCGTACGTGCATGCGCTTGCATGCAGTTGCACACCTGTGAAAAGGGTGGCAAGGGCTAAATAATTAATACCAAAAAAATAAACAACTGAGCTTTTGAATATGGAAATGTTGAAATCTCCATTGCCGTTGCTCACCAGAATGTCTGACATGTCAAGACCTTTAGCAAAGCTTCGTGTTAATCTCATTCTTCTGGCTCCCATTTCATTTTCCACCCAATAAGAGGCACAGCTGTCTCCACGTGGGCAGAAACTAAATGCCCTCTCAGGGTCCCGACAGCCACCAGCAGCCACTAGCACTGCACTGGCACGGACGGCCACATCAGGGCCCTCCATACCACAGCCGTTCACATCGGCATCCACCCCCAAAGCCAGCCAGTGCAGAGTTTGGTCCCAATTGTAGCGCCAATTTCCCCAGACCTCAAGGCAATGTAGACGACTTGGCTGCCGACTGCTCGGCTGAATTGTATTCACTGACCTGGTGTGATAGCCGATTTACTCCTGAGTTTATATGTTAGTTACAAAGCGCTTTGGAGCTCATGATGACAATGTGTGGTCTTTATCATCACACCCATCAGAGGGAAGCGCCTGTCAGCGTGCTTGGTCTCTGGATATCAATACATCTTAAAGTACATGTGCAGGCCCTTCTTTAATCCACTGCTGGATGAGGTCCTCCCCATGCCGTTTAGATCGTGGGGGTTATTTGACCATATTGGTCAGCGTGGGATGGTGAAGGGCAGGGAAGACAGGCATGGAAGCACAGAAGTACAGTCCCACAATTAATTATTCTGCACTGCCCATCAAGCACGCAGCCCCGCAGAAGCTTATAACACCTGTTACACATAGTCGTCGCCCATCTTAATGATAATGATAAACACGAACGTATTTCACAAATCGGACGCAATGTTAGATCGAGAACTCAATATTGCGGAGCCAGAGAGAAAAGCCTCTCGTTTGCTAGCCTGGACAGGTGAGAGCCTGGACAGGTGAAGGTGGTCGGTGCTTAGATTCTGTTGCGTGTGTACAGTGGGAGAGAGTTCCAGGTGGCAGCTACAGAGAAACGCCGCTCAGCCATGACGGCTATTGGATGTGCTCTCGTTTGCTGTAGTCAGTGGTGTGGGAAGGGTGGAGGAGCGGTATGGGGGGGTGGGAGACCCTTGAGAGACGGCTCGGTGGCACAGGATTGTGATTTTGTAACGTATCCTGAGCGCTTTTCAGGCTGAACCCTGCTTAGGCTGCAATATCTGATGAGATTCTGGGTGCTGTGCTCGTACACTTTATTCAAGTGACTGATGAAAAAAACAAATTGGAGAGTTTGTGGCCTTAAGCGGTGCCCTGCTTGTTGGGCGCTCTCCCACGTGCAAGGCACCCCCCGGGCCGCTCTGTTGTGGCAGACGCTTCTGCAATGCTGCCTGCGCGCCACGAAACGCTGCCGGTCGCCACAGCTCCCGTCACGCCGTCCTCTCTCTTTGTATGTTAAACACAACATTGGCGGCAGGGTGATCTGCACAATGTGCCGTGATGTATGTACGTGCGTACGTTGAATCTCTTTCGCACCGTACGCAGACAACCGTGCGCACGGTCCGGTGGCCGTGGTTCAAAACTCGTGCCACGCGCGCTATTATTGAATTTAGTTTTCACTGTACACACCGGACGTAGACAACCGTGCTCTCATGGTCCCATGGCCGTGGCTCAAAACCCAGGCCACGTGCACTGTTATTGATGTTTTTGTTTGCACCCCTTGACCTAGGTCAGTTCAGCTTAAAATTGAGTTCATCTTTGCATTGCGCTCATCCGCACTTACGCACTGGCGCTGGAGGGACTGAGACTGCCGGCTGCGTTGCATGCCACACCGCTTGCCTGTGTGCCGTGTGGGCTTAATGGGCACTCGCAAACAACACTGGCCCCTGACTGTCTGTTCGGCTAAACAAAGTGTGGGAGTGTGCATGCGGCACCACGAACCCGGCGACCCGATTTCGAATCGCACTTACAGCCAACAATAGTGACGATTATCTGAACCGGTCCTTGGGCCTCTCCTAGGTCGACTCAGCCTCAAATGAGTACGTGGTGCAATGTATACAAATCTGGCCACTTGGGAGACAAAAGTGGCCAGATGTGGTGCTGGCCGCTACCGTGCCGGGATTAATAGGCGCTCGCTAACGGCACTTGCCCCAAAAAGTCTGTTCAGGCTATAATGGGGATCTTTGTCTTGTGTGGCCCTGTGCCTCGCGTGCAGGCATGCGTGTGCACATGTGCGCTCGTATCTTAAGCGTGCGCATTAATCTTAATTGTTTTCCCCCCAGTTTAACTTGATAGTTTCCGAAATAACCGCCTGACACTTTATTTTTACCGTAATTATAGTGCAAACCAAAAATAATGATTAAAGAAGTGCTACACGCAATTAGTTTAACGAAATTCCAATTCTACTAACTTGTAATCAACACACACTGAGAGGGCGGGCGAGCGAGCGTATAGCTTGACGTGTAATTACTCTGGGAAATATGGATGAAACTTTATATGCGAAAGTTGCAGAAGAAGAAGAAGAAGAAGAAGAAAAAAAGCCGCGAACTTTCGAGGTGGCTTGGTGGCTCTCAGGGGGGTCTGATTCGTCTGTCAGGAGCGGAGCGCGCACCGCCAGGGTCCACGGTTCAACTCCCAGGAATCCATCCATCTGCGCGTAACTCACGCGGCGGGCAGCGGGGTGGATGGTCTCGGCATGGGGCACCGCGCTCTGGCTGTAAAAGGACGTTGTGCGAATGTGATCTCAATTTCGCTGAATCCAGATCAGAGGGATGCTTCAGTTGACCTTTGCAGGGGTAATGCCTCAAAGCTAACCTACTTTCTACACCGTCAGTCGGTTACACAGTATTACCTGGGCTTGCTATACCACCCAGCACTACTGCTACAACACCCAGCACTACCACTAGACCACCCAGCACTACCACTAGACCACCCAGCACTAGCACTACAACACCCACCACTACCACTAGACCACCCAGCACTACCACTACAACACCCAGCACTATCGCTTGACCACCCAGCACTACCACTACATCGCCCAGCACTACCGCTACAACACCCAGCACTACCACTAGACCACCCAGCACTACCACTAGACCACCCAGCACTACCACTAGACCACCCAGCACTACCACTATACCACCCAGCACTACCACTAGACCACCCAGCACTACCACTACAACACCCACCACTACCACTACAACACCCACCACTACTGCTACAACACCCAGCACTACCATTACAACACCCAGCACTACCACTAGATCACCCAGCACTACCACTAGACCACCCAGCACTACCACTACAACGCCCAGCACTACCACTAGACCACCCAGCACTACCACTAGACCACCCAGCACTACCACTACAACGCC